CTCCCTGTGGGCATGGGCTTTTGAAAAATATACTTCAATGGGTCCAACCGAGAGATGAGATAGGTGGTATATGCTGACAAGTAGTGTTTCAACTTTTGCGCTACCCAGGTTAAAGCACAACACGTTCTCTCGAGTGGCATTTATGTTTTAGCATGTTCTTTACTTTAGTTTTTTCGGTTGTTAATTTCAACTATTATGAACAGTTACAACTTACATGTTATAAAATGTAACAAGCGAAATTATATTGACGATAAACTGATTTTCAGACCACAAAGAGGGGTCTGTTTCTCAACTTCTGGGAGTAACTAGAGCAAAAAGAAAGAAAAAACTGAGAAAAGGGAGGTTCCAGATCTAATTTCTAAGCTAGAGAATTATAACCAAGTTCATCCATAGCATTTCTAGTTGATTATTCTCCTATTTATGCTACTCGGTGCAAGGTTGTCCTTTGTCCTTTACCATAACGGCCTGGCAGAGGTTTATTTTCTTGGGATCTGGGACCACATAATGGTCCATGTATTTGGGTGAATATTTTTCTCTGGTGCTGCGCCTAGGACCCTGTGACGTGTCATGCTGATTTGTTACATAAAATCACTTCAATATGTTATGCTGAAATAGTCATTGTCTTTTCTAGAATTTGTTTTTCTAATTTTGATGTTTTAATTTCTTTTGTTTAAAAGAGTAATGAAATTAACCCTAAACGAGGTAAAGCTTCTTTGTTATGTAGATGAAATATATAACTGATAGAATTAAAGTGTTGTTATTATTTTTCACTAGATAGTTTAAGAAAAAGACTGCCATTATTAAAATTGATAACTAACAATTTTCAACAAGGAACTTCCTTTGATTTCTAGAACATTTTCTCGTTTCGTTTTTATGTCTTTTCGAAGGTTGACTCATATATAATCCAATAATTAATGGGGTCATATCTCATGTTTTCACCTAAATTCAACAAATGATTATGTCTCATGTGAAACACCTTGACACCAAGAAAAATATATGAGAAGTCATAATACTTTTGAATTAACTCTTTTTTGTTTTCCAATATGGTGTTCGGTACATTAAAAAATATTAAAAGAACTAAACTTAACTCTGGAAAGTAATACAAGAAATTCAAATATCAGTGTCACGTAAGATTGGATGTCCACTTTGGACAAACTTAATAGAAAAAGGATAAATTTGAATCAATAGTATAACGACAAGGATATATTTGACTTAAAGTATAACGAAAAGTACATTTAAATCATTTTTGATAGTATAGGGGTATATTTGGCATTTTTCTATTTTATAAATATAACTCTCGAGAAGTAAATTTTACTTCTGCAAACTAACAAAAATTAGATCTCTTAAAGTTGTCTTCTCAACAAAAATAAAATACTTTTTTCATCATTAACTAGAGATTTTAGGTTCAAACTCTAAAAATGAAATTACCTTTAATAAGGAGCGTTTTATTGCCTTTAATTGGGATTAGGCGCATGCCTTTTCTGCGATCTATTGTCCTCAATTTTCATTTATCATTTCTCAGGTTAGTGGGCGTTTAGACAAAAGAATTGTAAAATTCCAAAAAAAGTGAATTTTTTTTTAAGTGAAAATACTATCTGAAAATTAGAGTTGTATTTGGACATGGATATAATCTTGGGTTGTTTTTGAATTTTTGTGAGTGATCTCAGTGAAAATTTTGAAAAATAATTTTTTGGAGTTTTTCAAATTTTCAAAAAATTCATCTTCAAGTGAAAATTTAAAATTTTATGGTCAAATATTTAATTTCGAAAAAAAAGTGAAAAATTTTCGAAAAAATTCTTATATCCAAACCGGCTCTTAGTGTAATACAGATTCATTGGACAGACAAAACATGATCCAACGATCAAAACTGTATCATAAAATCTTAGCCATTGGATGTTACCCTTTTGAATCTTAAGTTGGATTAAATTCTAATATCAGAAGGACTAGAAGAAACTTGAATTGTAGATTTCCCCCCATATAATTTCCCCTTCCTTAAAACAGAACATCACACCCACATTTACCAAAATTTACACATATAACAAATATAAACAATGCATACATATTTACCAAAATTTACACTTTTTCAATTCTCATGCAAGTATAAGTTACAATCTTAAAATTTAAGTCTCATATTTGAACTTGTAAACTAATAATAACAAGAAAACACATACAAATCACCAAAACCTCGCTTATCAATTCGACATCTATAGAAATTATGACTCTAAAAGACTAACTGGAAAATACAAAACATCATGTATATATTCATCAAAACATATTTATCTCCATTAATAAAGCTCACTCATAAAAATTAAAACACCATTCTTCCTACTAAGAAATTTTTTTCAGTGTATATTCTTAATCCAAATCCACATATCCTCAATTATATTTAGTAACTAATAGAAAATAAATTTAACAAAAAGAAACACAAGAACACGACGATGGATGAGATCCCTCCACCCTTAATTAAAAGTCTTGAGTTTAAATTCTAAAAATAAAAAAAATTCTAGTACGGAACACTTTCCCCTTAAATAGGCATTATATACAGGAATCTGAATTAGTCAATCGGACCAGTGGACCAGTGGACCAGTGGGTTCCAACTTCCAAATACCGAATGGTTAAATGAAAAAAAGTTGTGCATTAAAAAAAATAAATTAGGAAAGTTCTGGGGTCAAAATCTAATTTGTACAAAATAACCATATCAAAAAATTAACAAGACAAAATAGTTGTCCATCGCTTATATATAGGCCCCGCCACAAAGTAATCAGTTGAGTTTTCCACTGTGTGTGTGTGTGCGCGTGGGTGTGGCTTTGGGGGGGTGGGTGACAAAAAGAGGAAGTTTTAGTGAGAGAGTAAAAAAGGGATTCACCGGCGGTGATAGAAAATGGAAGTGCCGGTGAGATATTTCTTGTTTTCCCGGTGATATTGCCGTTTCGATCTCACTTTCCGGCCAAAACTTATCATTTCCCAAGTGATAAACAAGTTCGGGTCTGACCCGATTGCAGAAAATGGTCCTTTAGTCTTCTAAAATCCCAATTTTGCCCTCATCAATCATGAGTTGATTAAAAAACTTGATTTTAATTTAAAGAATTTTTCATGTTACTAGACCCTTTAAAGTGTTTGATGCTTTCCGAGTGAGTTTATAAGAAGATATTTGGAATTTGTAGTTGAATTTTAGTCCAATTCACTAATTCGGGTCTGACCCGACTGCAATAATGGTCCTTTAGTCTTCTAAAAATTCCAATTTTGCCCTCATCAATCATGAGTTGATAAAAAAAAAACTTGATTTAAAGTTAGTGATTTCTCATATTATTAGACCTTTTGAACTGTTTGATGTTTTCTGAAGACTGGTTTGAAATTTGAAGCTTTTTCATGTAAAGGGGTTGTGTTTTGATGATTGAATTATGCAAAGCTGTTTGCTTTTTTGCTCTTTTGATAATTAAAAAAAAGTGAAACTTTCTCCTCCATACCATATTTTTATTGTACCAATGGATTAAACATTTGTTGAATTTTTATTCTGGGGCTTGAATTTGAATTTTTGATTTATTTCCTTCAGTCTACTCTCAGTTTTAGAGCTTGAAGTTTGAATCTTTTTGGTGAAGTTTGTTCAACTTTGGTCATTTGTTGAATCCCTTCTGGATGAAATGACTGTTTCTTGATTTATTTATTTCAATTTCAGAGCTTAAAGTTTGAATCTTTGTTGTGACACTTGCTCATATTTGATCATTTCTAGAACCCCTTTTGGATGAAACGGCTGTTTCTTGATTTATTTCCTTCAAGCCACTCTCGGTTTCCTTCAACTTCAGAGCTCAAAGTTTGAATCTTTTTTTGTGAAATTTGCTCATATTTGCTCATTTCTAGAGCCTCTTTTGGTTGAAATGGCAGTTTCTTTGACTCGTTTATCATGGTGGTGGTGGGGTGGGAAAGAGAAAGAACCAGTGTCTAATGGTTCTTCTTCAATGAATCCATTGCAAGATTTTGGATTTGGTTTGAAGGAACAAGGTGATAGTTTGAAGTTTAAGTCAGTGAGGGGAGCTAATAATGTGGCCTCCTCAACTACTAGGAAAGTGAAGAGGAAATGGAAGAGTAGAGAGGAGAGGATTAAGAGGGTTGATAAGAAGTATGATGTAGTGTTGGTGCCATCGGATGGTGTTTGTTTATCAGGTTCTGAATCCGATGACTCGGACTGGTCAATCGGGTGGCTGGAACCACATGCCCCTGATTTCCAGAATGATGATGAGGCTGATGACAGTTTTGCTGTGCTGGTTCCTTGCTACAGGCATGATTGTATTAGAGAAATAGAAGAGCCAAACAATCAGTTTTTAAGCGCCATTGAGAACCTTTCAAATGAGTATTCTGCTGGTAAGAGCTATAGATATGTTCTTGTTTTTGCTTTTTGCTGCACTAATTCTGTAGAATAACATCTTTCTGTTAGTATTAAATCTGCAGTGTTGGATTATTAGTCTTTGATGACTATGATTTGAGTTCCATTGTGCTTGTTTACAACTGCCCCTGCTTTGACTTAGTGACTACTGCAGCTGAATTTGTTATGTTAGTTATGTTAGTAATATAAGGGGAGCCTTGGCGTAGCCGATAAAGTTGTTGCCATGTGACCAGGAGGTCGTGGGTTCGAGCTGGAAACATCTTCTTGCAGAAATTTAGGATAAGGCAGCGTACAATAGACCTTTGTGGTCCGGCCCTTTCCCGGATCCCGCGCATAGCGGGAGTTTAGTGCACCGGGCTGCCCTTTTAGCTATGTTAGTAATATGTGGACTGAGAAAAAGGTACATGTGAGCTTGCAGTACTGTTGTCCTTCATATTACGAAGCGTGTGGTTACAAGCATCACATATATAGTGCTAAAAAGTAGAAGCATGTCTCCCGTTTGGGCACAGATGGATAGACTACTATCATTGGATTCAGATATTAATGAGCAATAGTTTCATAGGAGATTGATTAGTATTCGCATGAGTAGAACTGGTGAGCAGTTTTTTGAGAAAGATTTTTTTTTTTGAGAAAGACAGTTTTTGCTGTTAATGAGCATTATTTATCATCTCCTTTGTTGTGTAATTTGACAATGAAAACCTGCAACAAAATTTCGTACTAACATAATGCAGCGAGTTCTACAAACTCCCTCTTGGTGATGTTATACTTTTACACCCCAGCCTTATTTGTTCAGATAGAAACCTTAAAGCAGTAACTCTTGTTCGGAAGCTAGAGAACTTCCCTTCCGTAGTTTCCAAGCTTAGAGTTATATTTTCGTTAACCACTTCAAAGCCTGCAGACCTTGTTATTAGTTCAAGATAGATTATTACTATGTATCATCTTTATGCTAGTCTATGTAGTTTCTATCAAACTTACAAGCAAATATGACCTGTCGTTTCCTCCTTGTTATCTGAAATTCTTTTTATGATTGCAGAGGGTAAGAAATACATGGAGCAATGGCTATCTTCTCTTCAGAATTTTTGAATCTAGTGCATCCGGTCGTTGTTCTGCATGTTAGGAAATTTCCGAAGCAGGAGCTATCTTTTAGTTTACGAGGAAGTAAGTGCAAGTTCTGAATTAATATTGAATAGTACTGGCAGCAGGTCAGCATTTTCATTTGCGAGAGAAATAATCAAGTTTATCGTGGCAGTGATCTTTGGTTAGAAGCTCACAAATACAAACCATTGTCATCTTCAAACTTTTGGAATTGATCAGCTTCTGTTCTGGCTTGGGGGGGGGGGGGGGGGGTATTGGGAATTTGACATATGAAGCTGATTTTTAGTGTAAATATAGCTAATGTGAATATGGGAGAAGTATTATGCTTTTGGCTGCTGCTGTTGTAAATAAAGCATCTGTCTTCCAAAATCTGGACAAGTGAAACATCATTGTTTATATCTTGATTATACATTAATGTTAAATATTATGTTCTCACTCTTGCTAATTTGCATCATCCTTCTTAGTTCATTTTCTTCTGCATATGTTGCCTTAAGATGATTGCTTAGTGAGACTTTCTATAATTAGTTGCAACAATTAGCAATTCTTTTAGCAAAGGCTCTGTTAGCATTCCTAAATCCATGCATTTCTCCTATAATGCTACTGTGGTTCCACATCTCATTGTCATGAATCTATTTTGTGGTGGTTCCTCAGTCTTATCCTTCATTAAGGACAATCCAGTGCACTAACCTTCCGCTATGTGTGGGGTCCGGTAAAGGGCCGAGCCACAAGGGTCCTTCCGCTATGTGTGGGGTCCGGTAAAGGGGCGAGCCACAAGGGTCTATTGTACGCAGTCTTATTGTTCATTGAAATCAAGAATTTCTGGACCACTGTTGAAGCATATTGTTTGCTTCATTAGGACACTCTTGTGGAAGCTAGTGAAAATAGTCGTCACAGTCTGAGTTCCTTTCTGCTTTGTACGAGACTTTCTTGACTTGTCAAGCGCTCTCGCCTTCACTAGGAAACTTATTCGATAAGCAAGATTTTTTTATTTTTTTTTCTGATGATGAAATTACAATGAGATTGGAAAGACTAGGGGCTTTCCCTTTGTCGTTTCACATACGGGCGGATTAATAGTGCAATCATGTTATAAAAATCATAGATCCGACTCTGTCCACAAACAAGTGTATTTGATGATTGCTCCACTCAAAGCCAAGAAAACCTAAAGATCAATTGGACCATTTTTTGTTGTTGTATTGATTTCAAAACCCCTTTTTAGATGCAAATTGATTAGAGCATTTGATGTTTGCAGGAATGGCATGTGACCATTGCCACTAAAGGGTGAAAAGTGATTGGCAAAAGTTTTGCTTTAAATATTCCTTCTTAGCCTACTTTTCTCTACCTTTTATAAAAAAATTCCAACTTTTTCCACCAGGGGGTTTCTGCTCAAGAAATTGAAACAGACCCCACTTTTGGTATTTGAGGTTGCCAATGGGGCATATTTTGAGATATAAAATAAATGGTCATTGACAATTTTTGTGCCCCTTAGCACTTATGATAGGGGAAAAAGAAATGAAAAAAATGTAGTTTGTGGCTATTATTTTCTATGTAATTAGCACTTGTACACCACACACTAGTGCTTAGAATATTTGGATACTTTGGTGTTGTTTCCTACTTGCATTATATAAAGTTGTAAGCATTAAGTTATGTAGTCTAATGGTCAACAAAGTTTGTTTCAATCTTGAAGATCAGTAAAATTCAGTAGAGACAAAAAAATTAGAATTTTTTTGACATTTACGTAAGTTTTGATGAATATAATAATTCGTTACCTCTGCAGATAGGACACATCACCATTACTATGGACACGTTTGTCTATAAAAAAAAATTCTTTTTCCAAAATAAAAATATTTCAAAAATGTTTTTGTCCATGAAATTTTGCGAATTTTTGGAAATTTTTCGAAAATGCATTTTTCAAAACCAAAAAGTGGTCTTTTCAGAAAAACTTTTTTCTCCGCTCATAAAACTGCATTATTTTTTCAAGTGAAATGCATGTCCAAACATAATTTTAAATTCCAAATACCATTTTAACTTAACTTCAAATTTATTTTTTTCAAAAATTACAATTTTTATGTCAAACACCTACTAAAAAAGTTATCGAGAAGTCTAGTTAGATTCTTAGGGATAAAATTTCAAAAAAGAGTTGGTGGGGTTACCCTTACAAATTTCAATTTCATGTCACTTTCATTGATGTTCCTTCTAATCCTTATAAATATTGATAAGCAAGGTTCACAGAAAGATTTGACAAGCAATTATTGATGTAATAAAAAATGGCATTTTGATGATTCTAAGATATAATCAATTTGTCTTTTCACAATTCTATTGCGTACTTGGATCAGTTTGTCACGTAAACCAAAGTTGGATTATTCCTTTTGATGATAATCACATGCCAAAAAAAAAAAGACTGATTTGTGGGATTCTCCCTCTATTCTTGATGATAAAGTGAACCTAAATTATCTCACGCTAAACTTGTAAGTACAGTCAAATTTTTTTATAATAGCTGCGTTTGTTTCGGTATTTTTTAAATATTATAGTAAAGTGTTGTTGTAAAGAACATATTGTTATAAATAGAATTCTATTTAAAGTGAATGTCTGTATTTTAGAGAGATTTTAGGGTTTGTTACTTGGTGGCTAAGAATCCTCTCTCTCTACTTTTCTCTGCAATATTCTTTTATTGTTTTATAGCACATATATTATAATATAACATAAAAAATCGATTCCGAGAAAAATTTAATTTTTTTAGTAAATGACTGTTATATAGGAATATTATTATAGAAATATTAACTGTATTATATTTGGAACCATTAACTCCATTTAACTCGTGAAAATCTTTATATGCAATATTTTTCTGAAGAATTTCCTCGTCTATTTAAAAAGGAAAAAGAAAAGAAAAGGAAAAGCTTGAATTACCTAATATTTAAAAGTTGAAGCAATCTCTTTGAGGGCAGGGTTATGTAATGATTGAAACTATTAGATTAAGTTTTGTGAAATTTAAGCTCCCGAATTTATTTCTCTCGAAAAAGATTTATAGTTTTTACATTCTTTTCTTCACATGGTTATGTAATTTCTTGATTATTTTCAAACTCCTTTAATTATAGCATAAGATTTTTAGGGTGGCTTTTAACTTTTGACCCCCGCTTGCCTCATTGACAGAACCTTCAAGTCAAAAGTTATAAGTGTTGTCCACGGGCAAACGAGGGACAACATTTGTTAAACTTGAAATTCTAGCCATAGCGCAAGCGGAAACAAAAATTCAAGACCATCCACGTTGAGAGCTATTTGTGTACTTCATTCATCCTCTCTGTAGTTAGGCTGGGTTTTGATTGGGCTCAATATTCATCCTACACTACCTTTTGGGCCAACTGCGGAATGGTATAGTCTAAAAGCCCATTAGGTACCTAGTTGAAGAAGTATGTTTGATAAAAAGCCCATTAGGCAATACATGTTTCCAGACCTAGTCTTTACACAAATAGCCGATCATACTTATTATTTTTTTTTCCTATTATATATTGATTTTACATAGTTATACATATATAATATATAAATTATGTATATACATACCTCCACCGGCTATTTTTAATTTAAGCGATTGGACGGACGTCTATTTGGATTAATTCTTCTATTTGATAATGTGTTTGATATTATTAGCAAGTCTCAAATATCAACTGTCAATCGAGGGAAAAAAAAGGTAAATAACATCTATTTTTAAGCTCAATATATTAATTTTATCATGTGTTATATGTTGGAGCCATTCATATTCCTACTTAACGCAAATCATTTCTTATTCGACTCTGGTGCTATTACTCATAAAAATGAGCAACAAAGATTTGTTATCATATGATAGTAAAATAGCAGGATATTCATGTCATTGTCATATATAAAAGAAAAAATTTCATAAAGCACTATCTTTTAGTGGTAATTAGCTATCTATAGATACCATTTGCTATATTACGGATTGTAGATACATTTTCTGTTGTTATTAAATGTGTTGGATGTATTTAAGCTACTGTATTTATGAATACAGTAGCAAAAATAGGCGTGAATCAGGGAAGTCCAGCTAATCAATTGTTGTATTCGAGTGTATTCGACTTTATTCATGGCGTGAAACATGAGATTACAGCTGGACAAATTATTGTATTCGACTGTATTCACGGCGTGAAACGGGGGATTACACTGTTTTTAAACGGAAAGTGAATCAATTAACATAATAGACTCCTAATATAACTCAACAAACTCAATTATAACACACAAATTTTGTATTTCCAGTTATAAAAAAGATTCTCAACCGAAAAATACCCCAAAAACATAGCAATCTTCAGAGAAATTATATAATACATCTGAATACATAAATTATATTAATTTAAAAAAAACACATGAATACATTCATGGCATATAGCGAGACAGTGAATACAATGAAATACATAGAATACAACGGGATATAATTTTTTAAAATAATATTTATTTAAAGTAAATAAGGTGTTAACCTTTGCTATAGGAGGTAAAAATTCCTATATATAAAAGATGGTATCCTAGTAAAATAGTCCAAGTGTGCAAACTGATTCAATATGATCATCAAAATATCCAGTGATAATAAGAGAGAAAAGGCTTGGATAGAGGAACTCGCAATCATTTAGCGATCTCAAATGTGTCGATATTAATAATAACTCATTATTTCGATGTATTATTTTTTTTGAACAAAAAAAAAGTTATGTAAGCACTAACTCGAGATCTCATTTATTAAATTCCAAACTATCACATAATGGAAAAGAATCTATGTTAATAATACATGTTATATTAAGGGGGTAGGGTGGGGTAGGTGGGTGGGTGTATGATTAAAGAAAGAAAGAGAAAAAAAAATACAGTTAAGCTAGAGTACATAAGTTCCTTTGGTATATTCATTTTCCTTCTATGAAGCTTCTTTCTTTTCAGTGTTCATGATTAAAGTAAAGCGTAATATGCGTTTATGACTAAACACTAGATACTTTACACGCTTAATTGTAAATATTAGTATTAATTTATTTTGAGGAATTTTTGAATATTCTTGAAATCTTTTGTCCAGCAATTAAATTATTTAATATCATGATGAGTTGTATTTAAATTATTTATTCATTCGAATAACTTATTCGATGTAGTTGTCATTATGAGATCATGGCCCTCGTTTTTAATGATTATTTTGATGAAGAAGAAGACCAATTCCAATTATTTTTTCTCTCACATAAAACAAGAAGAAAATCTGAAATTAA